ATCTTGTTTACTCCTGGTGTGCGCTTCAACCTTGAGCAACCCATTAACTCTCGTCCCAATTCATACGATGTTCTTTTGCACCCTCTTTCGTCGTCATGTGTTAAGTCCATTTTTGTAAATGTGAAAACTGCTAGAAATGTTGGATTTGGAATGCAATCCCGCATCTCAACATCGCTTTTAAATGCCTTTGGGTCCAGAAGATCTTCTTTTCCCGGCTCTCATATTATGCGATCACCGAGGTCTTGGTGTTGCTGACTTTTTGAGCACTGACTCCCCCCCCCCAAACCTGCTCTATATGGCACAGTACGTTCCAACGTACACCCCCCCCCCCCCCAAGTGCTTGACTGTTTTGACCATTTTCCGCCAAACCAACCTTGTTCCACAAATCGTATTATAAATATTTGCTATTTCCGTTGCTGTTCGTGTTTGCGCGTACCGTTATCCTGACCAGTTGCATTCAGACGCTAGCATGGAACCATTCCATTTTACCGTTTATTTTGGCCGAAATCATCTGAGCAGCACCATTCGTCTTCTCCCTAAGTCCGCCGCCGCTGTTTCACCGTCTGCGTCCAACTCTTTAGTTGCTTGAATGGACGCTTCCAAAGTCCGTTACGTTAGTACCTTTTAGTACTCAAGATCATTATTTTCCACCTAGAGTGAAACTCTGTAGAGGGGGAGGTTAGGCTCTTTCCTTACTTCACATCTGAGTGTCCCTTTCGTCAGCGTAGGTCGCAAGCATATGCTCAACTGCCACCCGGAAAAATGTCATGTGCTCTATTTTTAAGTAAGCGTCATAGGCCTCACTGTTTTTTTTTCGCCATTTTTCAAGCCCCAGCCGCACAGATGTCCATCAGACCCTCCCAGGCTGCGGCATTTCCCCGTAATTCCTCACAAAACAACTACGTGGGGCCCTCGTCCTCGTCCTCCTCCTTCTCATCTCCTTCCACCTCTGCTGGTGGTGCTGCAGCCGACCCCTTCCAGTCGTTGCCTAACGAACTGCTTCTGCGCATCTTCAGTCATCTGGACGCGGATCAGCTGCTTGTTTGCGGCCGCGTCAGTCGACGCTGGCGAGCCGTCTCAGGGGATTGGCATTTGTGGCAGGCCAAACTTCTGGAGGCGATGGGTAGCCAGTGGTGCACCATCGTATGCCACTCCCGTCCCCGTCGTGCGCTCTCGTTGCGGGATCCCAGCGCTGTGCACCCTCGTGAGATCTACCAGTTCCTCCTTCAGTTCATTCCCAAGTGTCAACTAAATGGCTCTTCCCAACAAGCCGCCGCCGGTGGCCTCACAGTCACTAATGCCGAGCAACACTCAGGCAGCCTGCCATCAGAGCCGGGTGATTTTGAGGACGCAGCGGCACATACCACTGGCAGTGGCGGCATCGGTCCCCGTCTGATGCCTTTTTCGGCCATCTTCAGTGCCTGGTGGAACCAGCTACGCAATGCATTCCCTTTCCCCAACCGCTCTGCCGGGACCACCGAGGCTTCCACCCGACC